GTCTCACCACCCTCACACTAAAGAATTTCCTCCTAATGTCAAATAAAATGTAAATAAAGGAATATTGCTAACATCTGAACAGAAGAGTAAAGGAGAAGTGTTACATTATTAGCAGGCTTTTTCAGAAAAAAAAAATAATAATGAAACTACTGCAATTTACACAGTTGACACTTTTCTAAAAAAAAATGTTTATTAAGCAGTTACTCAAAGGTGCTTTCATGGAAACATTTATTGCAGTATAATAAAATGTAACTGAAGATAAAACTTCACTCCTCTAGAGGAAGCTCGGATTAAGTTTGCCTGTTTGTTCTGCTTTTAAAAATGGTGCTTCATTCTCTATTGCATGTTGGCATCTGATGAGAGAAGCAGACCTGGGAGGGTGCTCTCCTGCTGGTTGTATCAGGTAGGTAGGGTTGCAAGATGCTTTAGGTCCTAAGGTATGGTGTGTGCCACAGCTCATCTCTAAGGGCAGAGAAGGTCTGTACCCCAGCCAGGTGGCTGGGCAGCTGTACCTGGGGACACTGGCAGAGTGGGACAGAGAGGACAGGGAGAAATGCTGGGTGCTGGCTGTGGCTCAGGTCACAAGAACATATGGATGGGTCTCCTCCAGTCACACTACTGCAAGTCCTACTTACAAATGTGTTTAAACATTCTAAAAAAAAAAAAAAACAAACCAGAAGGAAGAAGCAGTGGTTCTGCTCTGACACTGCTCTCAGCCCATGGAGGGATAAAGCACCAACATCAAGGCTTTATTTTCTCCCTTCTTCCCAGAACTTCATGCCATGCTGTCCAATCTCTTTCACATAAATCACAGGCATCTGGCTTGAATGTCTGTTTATTTAAATTGCATTGGCAGGGAGCTACCCTGTGTAGCCTTCAGCACATGAATGCATTTACTCAGTAATTTAAATGAATTATGAGCCTCTACTGTGTTACTAAGGAGAAATTTAAAATTACTTATTTTCTTGGTTTGGATTTTGGGATGCTGGCTATGGACACAGTGCTACCAGACAAAGAGAAAAACAGCAAGAAAATTAAAAAGGATGCATGTAAAGACTATACTCCTGAGAAAGCACCTTGCTCAGAGGGATGCTCTGAGTGAGAACACAGCATTGTCCCTGAGAGTCAAAGTTGGGGCAGAACAATAACCCCCTCCCCGGTCACCTGAGCATTGCTCTGCAGCTGAGGAAAGTTAAAATTACAGAGTCCCAGGGTAAGACACACCATGAGGTAAAACCTGCTGAAAGTCAAATTATCCTCATAGCCAAACATCAAATGGTTGGAACTGATCCCAGAACACACATTTTCCAGGATACACCTGGTTTTGTCAGCTGTGACAGAGAGGACTTTCATCCCAGCCTTCCTGATGAGATATTGAGCAACTTGTAATTAAACCAGTAAAAGTAGCTCCTGCCAAAGAGAAGGTGTTTCCATGTTCTTCAAGCTGCAGCATTTAGTCACTTTTTTTTTTTCCTTTTATGAAAGCAGCGACTTCCACACAGAATCAGATCATTTTAGATAAAATTAAATCCCACTGGATAATGTGCTTTCATGAAAGGCAACGTGAAGGAAAACAAAGGTAAGATTGTACATGTGTGGGCACACAGACGTGCAAATATCATCTTTACCAGCTAGAACTCTGTAAAATGGGGTTGGTGTTGCCTTTCAATTTCCAAAGTTCTTGGTGAAAACAGGATTTTGAAACAGAGACAGAGCCCTACCACATGCATAACAAGATCCCATAAACAATTTTTTTTTTCAGGAAAATAGGGGTTATACTTTTTCGAAGTAAGGTATAACCAAAATATACTCATTAATTTGCTAATTACTTTGCTACCTCCAAAACATATGACTGAAATCTGAAGCCAGAAAAATCCCTTTCTCATGCCTGACCCACTGACAGGTTGCAGTGTTTTAACCATTGCAATAAGTTTCTTCTATCTTTGGGTAATGTCACAGCTTTCTTCGCCCTAACTGGTGGATGTGCAAAGCTGAGATCATACAGTTAAACAAAGGCAAGTAACAACAAAGCAAGCCTGGTGACACACCCATCACCCAGGCAGTATCTACAGTAATAAATTAAGCAGTGCTGGGGAGCCCTGCAATCCAAATATCGATAGTATTGGTAGGACCATGACATTGAAAGGACAATCCCAGAGTGTCCCTGAACAGAAAATCCAACATTTCCCAAGCCAGGCTAGGAAAGTGAGGAGAGGCCAGGGATCACTCCTGACAGTTTATAAGCAGCCATCCTGTGCATCTCACCTGCTGCCTCCTTTTGATCCTCTCCCTTTCTAACAGGGGTCAAAATATTTCTCTGAAGAGCTTTTGTGCAGATCTTTTTCTTCCATGACCAGACTGTGAGTCCTTTTACATGGCCTCTCTATTGCTACAAAGTGTTGTTAAGGTGCTCAGCAGCTTATGATAAAACTACTGATGATTGTCTACTTGTAACACTGCTGCATCTAAACTCCCCAATTCAGAGGAATCACTTTCAGTCCATGGAAGAAAACCAGTGTAAAATTTCACCCGCTGCTTCCAACAGTGATTGTCTCTTGGGTAGTACTAAACATCATTCAGCAGCAACAAAATTGCTCTACATCACTGTTGTGACCACATCTGTCCTCCTTCCTCACCAGGTAACCACAGTGCTAGGTGATTTTCTCTTTTTAACTGTTATTTTGTTCCTTTTGATTTTTGACATTCAAGATACACCTCAGGGTTCTTCTCCATCATCTCAACATTGTCCCTTGTTTCAACAGCTTCTGCAAGGGCAGCTAAAGTTTTAGCAAAGGGGCCTACCCTGGCCAACTTCTCACCATCAAAGGTGGCATTGGCTTAATTGCAGTCAGATGAGCTGCCCCTTTAAAAGGGGAAAAAAAAAAAAATCCTTTCTGCTCTGCAGTTCAAGTCATTACTGCCAAAAGGAGTTTCCAATCCTCACCTGACCTGCCACAGAGCTTTTCCATGCGGGATTCAACTGGCACTTTGTGTGCTTACGCTTCTGTTACCTGTCGTAAATTCTTCTGGGATTAGGATAAGCATTTTCACAGGATTTTAAAGCAAGATTATCAAACCTGTCTACTGAAAGTCTTTCACAAAGTGATTATGAAGACCTGGCAGTAACCTCCAGTGTTATATAGGCTCTGGAGATAATCATCTTTGTCAAGAGAAATCTGGTAAGTTAATATTAACCATTCCAGGTCTTGGTGGTTTCACATGTACCTGGAGAAAACCATTTCAACTCCTCTATTAATCCTTGGTGGTAATGTAGCAAATGAAATATACTTTTATTACATGTATGTTTATTGCATTTTATTAAATTATTGTACAAATACATCTGAACCTAGAAAGTAGTTGTAGCAGTTCGATGAAGTGTGTGTTTGTAATGAGGGCATATTTTCACGTATTTCTATAGACCTGGTGTATCATGGTGTGCCTAAAATGAGAGATGACCTTTGAATGTTGGAACTGAATGAAGGTAAGGAATTTAATGCTCAAGGACTTTCCTTATTTAATTCTTTATTCTCTTAGCTTCTGTTCTGCTCTGTTTAGCGTGAAGACACAGAAAACCTACTTGATATCTGATTGCACCCTGTTTGTAAAGGAAAAATGACAACAGTTCAAACTTCACGCCACATTAAATTGAGTTCAAATGAAGAATAGTTAATAAATATGTTGGTTTCAGATTACTGTTAATCTAGAATAACAGAGAGATATTTAATAAGAGATATTAATGAGTGTTTAAAGGTAAGCCAAACTGAATTAAAATCTACTTCAGTAATTCAGGGAACTCTGGATCAACAGTTGTAAGTAAAAATAATTTGAGTAATATAAATCAGTTTGAAAGAAACACAAGAGGAGGATTATCATATCCACTAGAGGTAAAGGAGAATTTGTAACTAAAGACTTGATCTGCAGCATGTACCAAATAAGTGTTTGGAAGGAAAATATTCAATGAGAGTCAGTTTACAAGATGGGTGAGTGGCACCTGTGCCTTTAGTGCCTGTGGATCTCACTGTGTTTTGAAGTGGAAATTTTCAATGGTTTTGAGCTGTAACACAATGTAATTTGCAATCTGGTCATGTATTTCAGTCACTGCATTAGTGTCATGTATGCTGGCAAAAAGAAAAAACAAAAATAAAAAAATAATAGAGATACAGTTGCAAAGTAATAAAAACTTGTCCCTGACAGTTAAAAGTTAGATATCAAGTAACCACAGTAATGCAAACATGATTACTATCATAAGAGTTAATATTACTAATATCGACATTGCTGAGAGCTTGGATGCTTCAGGCAGCACTTCTAGGGATATTTGTCACAGATGGCTTTGAAATTCAGTTAGACAGTTTATTTGTTCAGAGAGTTAATGCTGGAAAGAGATTTTGGAAAGCAACTAAAGCCTAATGCTTCAGATTACAATCAGCATGTACCTACTGAGGAGCAGGGGCAGTCCTTTCTGGAGCATTGCTCTCGGTATTGAGATTCCTCTACGATTTCTTCTTAAGCATCATGTACTGTCCAGAGGAGACCACAGTGCTAAGTCTGGCATTCAGGCAAAACAAACCCTCCCATGAAGAGGAGATTTTCCACTCATTTACACCAGCCTTATTCAGTATTTCTTTGCTAGAAATAGAACAGGATTTTGGCCTATTATGATCCATCTTTCCAGGTTCTGTTTGCATGTTGTCCCAGTCATTAGCTGCTTAGCTTGATGGAGTCTGTAGTGTACAGTCACACCTCAGTTACATGTGGGTGGTGTTGCCTGCTTGGGATTCCTGCT